ATCCTATTTAGCTTGATGTGAAAATTATTTATATTAGGAAATAAACCTTTGAGAAATATATATATATATGTCTGCATATATGTTTGTGTAAAAGTAATGTATTTGAAATATATGTATTCAGAAATATACATCTGAACATAATTATGTTTATGTAATAAAATAAATACAGAGCTATAAGTTGAAGATCAAAGGGTAACAGGATTGGCTATTGTGTAAGTGTGAAGTGTGTGAAAAGTCTTTCTGTCCCTGTACAGGCATCGGTTATTAGCATTTAATGAAATGATTCAAGTGGATTTGGCCAAATGAGACAGAGACAGAACTTAAAGGACATGCATAGCAGGACTTTGGTAATTACAAATGCACGTCCCTGTGGAGTTTAGCACCATCTCATTATCCTTTGTAGCAGCACTGTCATGGACTCAGACACACGGTTCTTTGTATTCAATATTTTATCTCTAGCCTTTCCAAACAAAGGACTTTCGATAACAGTTTTCAAAATATAAGCACAAGATTATAAAGAGGAAAGTAGAATAATAAAAAATACTGCAATCATTCAGAATACAGGAATGAAATGGAAAAAGAATGAAGTATAGGTAGGACAAAAAGCTAAATATAATACTAATATAGAAAATTTTTAACAAATATACCTTAATTATACTAACTGAAAACAGTATGAAATTGAAAGTCAAAGATTATCATACTTGATGAAAATTGAAATGAAACTGTATATTGTTTAAAATACACAAATAAAATATAAGAATACGGAAACATTGAAAGTAGTAGCATGGGGGAGTGTTAACTAAATGCAAAGGCAAAGTTAATGTTAAGGTTACACATTGCTAGAAATAGAGAAGAATGCTATATGAACATTAAAATTACAATTTACCAGGATTATATATCTCCCAATTTTGTATTCGTTTATAACATAGCCTAAGATATACCAATAAATAGTTTAAAAAATGGAAAAATCCAAAACCTCAATGGACAATTTTAATGTTTTTCAATAACTGACTAAAGAAACATAAAAAGAAATAAGGGTGTAAGATATTTGAACAATACAGAATTAACAGTTTGCCTAATTGTACAGAATGCTGTATGCATCAACTACAAGAATGCACTTCTTTTTACTGGGGGCCTGAGCCCTGAGTCCAAGGAGATTCCAGCTGGCCTGACTATCTAACAAAGACAGGACACATTTACAGAGTTTATGCCAGGTACTAGCCACACTTGAAAGCACTAATTTAATTCTCAGAAAAACCTTATGATGTGCTTGCTGTAATTTTTCTTATTATCCTGATTAGGTAAATGTAGAGAGGTTAAAGTACTTGCCCAAGGTCTGACCCATAGGTATAAATTAGTAAAAGAAGAAATGGAGCTCGGATGGTCTGATTCCAGAGCAGTTGCACTTACCATGCTGCCTCTTCTGTGCACATATATGACCTGGACTTGCTGAAGGTAACACAGATGTGGCCTTTAAATGTGATTGAATCAGCCAGGTGGAACAAAGCTTCACATAAGTCATCTTCTGGGAATAAGAGAACACAGGAGCGTCACGGCTTTTAAATCTATAGGCCGGCTGCCAGACTCTGTTTCTCAGCCCATTGTGCAGAATGTGCTGCAGCCTGCCATATGTTTACACTGCCTCTTTCTTCTTACTGTGCTTACTGGTTCTCTGGATAAGCACTTCAGCTGGTTTCACTAGGGTCTTTGCCATGTTCCTTCTCTCTTAATCCCTCTTATCTAAAAAGAATTCACCAGCCTGGAGGCCCTGGATGCCTGACTATTACTGATATTCAGGGTGAGTGATTCCAAATGAAAACCAAGCATGTTCCCGCCCACAAGGGACCCCTAGTTATGCAGGGGAGAGGCAGCTTAGACAAAGCAAACAACAAAGAATAGAAACAGATTGGGCACACTCAGGGTCTGTGCTGACACCAAAGGCACAAAAAATGAGCTCCGGGTAGTGGCTATGCTGTCAGGGAAAATTTCGTGAAGTAAAGATTTTTTTTTTTTATTTAATATTTTATTGTACTTCAGGTGAAGGCTTACAGAACAGATAGTTTCTCATGTAACAGTAACACACATGCTGTTTTATGACATTGGTTAACAACCCCAC